CTCAAAACGACCCACATTGTGAAGAACTGTACGTCGACAGTTGTATGCAAACAATGCAAGCAAAAGCATCATTCGCTGCTCTGCTCAATTGACGACAGCTCTGTTCCTGATTCTAGCCAACTCCGTGAAGATGAAGCAACTGTAAAGAAGCAGCCAACAACAACATCAGAAGTACCAAAGCAAGCGAATTCTGTGACATCGTATGTCGCGGATCTCAAAACCAGCTGTTCAGTGAACTTCCTTATACCCCGTTCACATTACAGCGTATATCACGTGATATACGCTGTCTTGCAATGATTACTCATACATCTAGTTTTCACTGGAAATCCTAAGTATGAGTGCTCTTTACAAGACAGCCTACATTACGTGATATAGGCTGTAATGTGAACGGGGTATTAGTTTGCTGCCTACGGCTGTCATCAAGGTGCTGGGAAAAAACAACGTTTTCCATGAAGTACGGGCAATGATGGACTCTGCCTGTATGAACTCGCTGATCAGCAATAAAGCATTCGAACGTCTTGGCCTGGAAAGGCGCAATGCTAACATTCCCGTTAACGGAATCACTGATGGGAATCCCAGCAAGACAACAGGAGCAGTCACGCTGCAGATATCATCGCGATTCGACGACCTTGTCGTCATCGTGGTGGAAGCCTTAATACTAAAAAAATTGGTTCCGGACCAACCGAGTCAACCGTTTGAAGTCGATGCTGGTGCCTTAGCCGAGGCACCTCTCGCAGATCCAAGCTATAACAAGTGCGGTAAGATCGATCTTTTGTTGGGAATATAAGCTCTTTTTTCCATTCTAGAACCGGGAAAGCTGTACGACGGTCGGGGTGTACCCATTGCGCAAAACTCCGTCTTCGGCTACCTGGTTGGTGGCCACTTCAATACATCGCATGCCGCCGAAGGTCGTGCGGTGCTCAGCTTAACGACATCATTGAACCTGGACCAAACGCTCCGGAAATTCTGGGAGGTAGAGGAGGTGCCTAAATCTAAACAGCTCACGCCGGACGAGTTGCGGGCTGCCGAACATTTCCACTCCACCCTATCCCGGAATGAATCAGGGCGATACGTAGTTCGCTTACCCTTCGACCGTACAAACATAGCGTTCCGCCTGCTCTCTCCCGAAAACAGCTTCCCTTTGCACATTAAAGCATGCTTTGAGTATTCAATGAAGGCGCTCCACCCACTCCGGTGGCAGAAACGTCATCCACGAACATTTTGCTTGAAGCCAAAGTTGTTGGTTCTTTGGCTCGATTATCTGCCAATCTAAGACAGCTGATGCAAAAATTGAGAAATTATGCTCCTTCCACATAGATGTTTGGTTTTTTTGCGCGGCAAAATAATCGTGATAAATGTTCAACAGGCGCATGTAAGATTTTTTAACGCATACGTGTCGTCAATTCACATATAAACATATCATAAAAACTGTAGGCTACAGTGCTGACACCACCAATGGTGGTGGCTTCAGCAACCCTCCTTCTTAGCAGAGGATTGGCTCCACCATCCCGTTCGCCTGTGGGCTGTTTTATGAATATGATGTGTTCCTAGAATGTATGTCAACTCCCGAAATAGTTCGGATTCAAACTGGCGTCCCTGATCCGATGTTACAGTCTCCGGTGTACCAAAACGAGCGATCCACTCAGATGTCAGCAGCATAGCAACTGTTGGTGCGGTTATATCCGGAAGTGGGATGGCTTCTGGCCAACGTGTGAAGCGGTCCACGATGGTGAGAAGATAGCGGTGTCCTTGAGACGGCAGAAGTGGATCGACGAGATCGATGTGGATATACCGAAATCTTGATTTCGGGAGATCAAACGTGCCCAAAGAAGTAACGGTGTGACGATTTACCTTAGATGCCTGACAATCAGTACACAGCTGCGAACGAAATCGTTGATGTCTTTGTTCATAGACGCCCACACAAATCTGCCGGAGATCAACCGTCTGGTTGCCCAGTTCTGTGTCACCTTCCTGTTATCAGTTACGGTGTTCTCCAAGCCGCCGATATGACGAATATCCGGTGAGAACTGAGAATTATATCGCAGATGTTATTCTTCGTGGGTTAGCCTACTGGATAAGTTAGTAATCATAGCATGGGTGAGTGGCTTGGGATCGGTGAAAATGAAAACTGCCATCTTCATTGCTGTCAGTTCACGTTCAAATGCCAAGTAATTCCGTTGCAGCAAAAGAATCCGAGCGGGTGCCAATTCGTTCTAGATAACTGCTGAAGAACTGCTCCCGCGGAGGAACTTAAAGCGTCGGCCATGAGAGCCAGTAGTTTGAATCTGAATAGTAAAGCAAAGTAACTGCTGCTAACGAATGTTTGCAATGATCAAAAGTGAGCGGAAGTACCCCATCTCACGATTGTTCTAGTATCGTTTTTCCTGTTGTCTGTTATCAGCTTTCGTAACTCCGCCTGCATGTCAACAGCCTTTGGAATTAAACGCTTGTATACGTTAAAACTAGCTAAGAACCTCCGTAGCCCTTGTACTGTCGTAGGTAGCTTGTAGTTTGCCACAGCCTGAACCCGGGACCTGTAACGGTCGAATACCGTCCTGGTCAACTACGTAACCTAGAAATTCAACGCTGGACTGCGCAAATTTACTTTTTGATCCGTTGATCACCAAACCATTTTGCTGAATTCTTCGAAACACTTCTTCAACATATTGCTCGTGCTCCTCTGGCGTTACTGCAACAACTCTTAACGCAGTTATTTTGAGAATTTTCAAAACTTCCAGAACCACAAGAAATGCAGAATTCCTGGACCATTGAAAAATAAAAAAAAATAACACTCTCATAACTCCAGGAGTTTCGGAAATTCTATGGGACACTTAGAAATCGAGGTAACTAAAATAAAGTCCCTTATTCTCCCTTCCACAATCTTCATCAGAGTAATGTAAGAACTTCCGGGAAAACTTGCAAAATTCTAGGAACTCTAGCAATCCTTGGGGCTCTGGGAACTTTTGAAGTATCCTGCGACTCTTATGCATTGTTCAGACTACAGAGTTATAACATGTTATAGCGCTATCTTGATGGTGGTTTCTGTGTTGCAATTGTTATAACTGCTTAGTCTTGCCAGCGCTTTAGGAACAGTAAGCCATTCTGGATTCCCTACGCCCACAAGAACTTCAAGAGCTCTCAGAACTCCAGAATCTTCTAGAACATCATAAGCTTCTGAAAATTCCGATATTTTGAGAACATTCAAAACTTCCTATTGAATCGCGGAAAAAATTAAAATTCCAAGAACTTCTAGATTTAAAATAAACTGTAGGTATCCAAAAAGTTAAGTACTCTGAGAACCATCAAAAGTTCTAACAACTTTCAAAACTCTTAGAATTGCTGGAATTCCAGCACCCTTTAAAACTTTTAAGAATTCGAAACTCTACTCTGATTATTTTCAAACCTTTAACAATTTCAAGAACTGTTGAACTTTCTGAACTTCAATAGCTTATGGAGTTTCTACAACCCTTATAACTCCTCGAAAAGCCGGTAATCTGGCTACTTTCACAGCTTCGAGACCAGTTTTTCTATGCTGTAGAAACTCCCAACCAGTGTTGGGGAAAACATCAAAAAATCAAATCTCACCAATGCCCAAGATTACGCTTGATTTTCGTAGACAAAAGCAACAAGCAAGCAACTGCGGTTAATTTTGCAGGCTGCGATATAGCAGCTCGGAATATCATGCTAACAAAACTCATCAGCTGCAAATCTCAACAAACTGTGGTGAGATTGAGTTTCACAATTTTTGCTTTATGCCCGAACCCAACCGAAACTTCCATAACGGCTGGCAGCAGTCACTTCGTGTCTGCCATCGGTGAAGAGTAAAAAGGGATAACAAACTATGCTTTCTCTTTCTACACTGTACAAAACCACCCTCCTCTGTTCGAATGAAACCTCAGACCATTCAAATCGAAACATCGAAATTGCCTTTTTGAATGATAGCTGCAACCGGATGACGGTTGTTTTGAAATCAGTGCATTTTCCTCTCGAATACTGGATGAAAATTGTTATGAGAAAAGATAAGGCCTTCAGTTGGAATGCGTAATGCTCTCTGCAGGAAGATAGTCATCTTAAATTGAAATGAATTTGGTATTGGCTCAGCCCCTTAACACAAATCATTCAAAACGATGATGTACATAATTCTATTGAATGTCATTTGATACTCTCAGCAGACAAACGAGGTGGAAGTATAGCCATCGCTATCAGAGGTGGTACGAACATTGGTAAAGGGTGGAAACCGTAGAGTGTCTATTTCGTGGTGGAGGAAGTTTCTTCTACCAACAAGTGATTTTTGTATCCATGATGAATGGCTGCTCATGGCTATTCAATATGGAAATGTAAATAATCGAATTAATAATCTCATCTAAAACATTTACAAGTCATCCTATCCTTAAATTGTTGCCCTCTGAGCCCTGTATGTTTAACAGTCAATTTTCAAATAAATAGCATCCTTTATTTGGAGGACAGTTATATGGATGCTCATCAGGTGATGACGAATTCAACCATTAGGAAATCATCCGAAATTCGACAGAATATTTATTGTTAAAGGGTTCGAGCAATACAATAATCAGTCGAGGTAATGCGGATGTTTTCTATCAGTGTAAGAGAACGATGTGCAACGGAATCATTTTTGTGTCAAGTCACAAAAAGTCACTCTCAGCTTGATTTTTGCACGTTTGTAAAATCAATATGAAGCATGGTATTTTGTTCCAATATCACGCGTGAAATTGAGAGCGTATGAGAGCGGGAAAATATTGTTTGATTGATGATTTTCCCAACACTGCTCCCAACACCTCTCAGAAAACTCAGAACTTCCAGTAATGTCAGAACCCTGAAATGTTTCGGAATTCCGGGAACAACGAGAGCTTTCGAAATTTCCACAACTATCGAAATACCCTCGTACTGCGTCTCGGAACCTCGGTATATTTTGGAATTGTGAAAACCCTGTTGGAACTCGCGAACGGTTTTGCGAGCTTACCCCCCTGAAAGCCGAAACTTACCGCCAAGAAATTCCTCTCGATCGCGCTGTCCTGCGCCGTCAGCTCGAATCCCGACCGCACTAGATCACCGAGCGTCCTAACCCGAGTCGACGGGGACTGAATCAACACGACAATACTGGCCGAAAAGCTAATGTACAGGAACATCAAGCTGATCAACATGACGACGGTCATCGTTCGGGACGATACCGAACGCAAACTGAGCAGGGCCTCCTGCTGACTGGCAATGCTGATCATGCTCAACAGTGCCCCGCTGGCACCTTCCCGTTTCGCGGCTTCCGACGCCCGGTTCGTTTCTGAACATTGACCAAATCGTGTTATGATCAACTGAAGTACCGTTGCTAGGAGAATAATTCCCACAATCGACAGCCAGACGTGGCTGTGAAACGAAGCAATGAAAACGTTATCCGTGTAGGAGAGTTTCGGCGAACGGAAGATGTATCTGTGGTTCAGTGGTCCGGTCATGGCGAGGAACTGGATCGATTTGATACGATCCGGAGTCATGAAGCTGGGCGTGGCACCAAGATCAGTTGAACCTGCGCGAAGATCGCCGATCAATCCGGTTTCCCAGTCTTTGGCGCAGTGGAAAGTGATCGAGGCGTTCAGGAGAGAGGCTAGGGCGATTGTCAGGGCTTTGTTGACCTTGGTGGCGGTGGTGTCGTCGCCGGGACCGCATACGATCGATGCTTTCAGGGGCGTTCCGTGAAGGTTCCAACGTTCAGTTTCGGATGAGGCGTTCAGTCGAAGGTGAGGCGTGTTTTCCGACTGCCAGTAGCCGTAAGATTCTTCGATCAGTGGACTTGAAGGGGAATGTTTGAGTATTTTGCTAATTTCGTAACGGTCCAATGCTGTTGTGATGTGGAACACATCGTAGTTGATGAGTGCACTTGGAAGTTCAAGGTCATCGTTCACTTCAGTTGCACTATTGAACAGAATCCACCGAAACATGTTAAAGTTCTCGCTGTATTCTTCACTAAGCTTGTGACAAGCCAAATCCATAACGATAACAGTGCGATGATTGGAATTTTCGATTTGCGATCCGCCGTGTGAGAAACTAAATTCTTCATTGCTAGCTGATTTGAAAAAGTTAAACTGCTCTTGAAAATCTCCACAAGTTTTCAAAATAACTTGCTGTGATTGTTTATATTGAAGCAGCAGATCTTTGACTACTCCCATTTGGATTGAATTCACTGAAACCAAATGTAAGCAACAGCAAAGAAGTAACACTGGTAAGCGTCGGAACACCATCTCGGTTACAGAGTATTTGAGGTTTCGGACACATGTTACCTTTTTTATAGACCGAAATAATGGTAAGGCGAACGACTTAATGACCCGTAATTTGCTAGTTGCTACAAATTGAGTTATTATCTCGAGGGCAACGATTCCCGACCTCTACTATGTATTATTTGCATATCAAGGAACATACCTGACCGGGACCGGGGCAGGTTGGGAACCTCTGTTCAATTTTATTAAAATACTAGTTAACCGTTTGAATGCAGAACTTTTATTGAACATCACATCAAATATGCATACGAGTTTATTACAGCAGAAAGTATAAGGTCTTAAAATAAAAACACACAAACCGACCCACACGACTACGAAACATTATCCAGAATGGTAATAATACCGCAGGCAATCCGTGCCCCCACGGTGTCCTCCTCGCCCTGGAACGATACGGGATTGTTGATCGACAGATCCGGGAAACGATAGATCTCCGACGGTTTCTCGTGAATCACAATCGCCCTTCCGACGATTCCGGCGAAACCGAACAAATTGATGTAGGGACTGTGGAAATCGATCATGGCATTGCCGTCGTCCTTGACTTCGATGTTACCAATCTACGGTCGAAAACAAAGATATCCATGACTAACAAGCATTCTTTGACACTTAAAGCACAATACTAACGATACTGCTCCGGAAATGCGGTCCGGTCGATTTGCAGCCTTCCCTCATGTCGCCGAAAGCGTGCACGTGGACGGCATGCTTGCCCACCGGAAGCCCGGTCGCGTTGATGGTCGTTTCCACGTGGCCTGGAGCCCACTGTTTGAATGTGATTGTTCCCATAATTTGCTGTTCCGGGTTGTCCGCTACCAGCGTGGCACCTGCTTTCCACGATGGTTCGGGCTGGAATCAGTTAAAAATTAAGTAGATAAATTCGGAAATTAGAAAGCGTTGAAATGAAATGAATGAAAGAAGGTTTAGAAAATACTAGACTTTCTCAACTCTCGGAACTGATGTTTTTGAACAGGTAGGTAATTGTTTTACGGATGTAAAGCGCTGCCAATTTAGAATCGGTACCCTTCTTTTTGTCCTTGTGATTGCTTCTGGAAGCTTAAAGTTTTTGTTTTCTTGAATTATCACGCGATGTAAAGGGCGAACACGAAATTATTGCGACACCGAAAATGTCATGCCAATTTTCTTATAATGTTTAGAATCAAACCAAAATTTTAGGGTAGTTTTATACATATATTTACTTCAAAAATCAAAAGAAAAGTTAATCGATGGAGCCTTGAGTGTAAAATTGAACGCATTTTCGCTTGATGCCCTCCATCAAAGTCTTTACAGTGTCATCCGGTACCAGTTTCTCAGTTTTTTTTCCCATTTTCTTAACATGTCCTTCTCGTCTTTGACTGTCTTCTTGCTCTTCCGAAGTTCCCGCTTCATTATTGCCCAGTACTGCTCCACCGGGCGCAGCTCCGGACAGTTTGGCGGATTCATGTCCTTTGGAACAAAATGGACAGAATTGGCCTCATACCACTCCAGGACACTTTTAGAATAGTGGCATGATGCCAAATCTGGCCAAAATAGCGGAGCTTCGTCGTGCTGCTGCAAGAACGGCAAAAGGCGCTTCTCGAGGCACTCAGATTTGTAGATCTCGCCATTTACTGTGCCCTTTGTCACGAAAGGCTCACTCCTCAGTCCGCAAGAGCAGATGGCCTGCCAAATGAGATATTTGGAGGCGAACTTCAACATTTTCTTCTTCTTAAATTTGTCGTCCACATCGAACTTGCTCTTGCCGGTGAAAAACTCCAACCCCGGAATTTGCTTAAAATCGGCTTTTATATACGTTTCGTCGTCCATCACACAGCAGCCATATTTTGTCAGCATCTTCTCGTAGAGCTTCCGTGCCCGAGTTTTAGCCATCGATTGTTGCCGCTCATCGCGGTTTGGGAAGTTCTGTACCTTTTATGTATGTAGTCCCGCTCTCTTCTTTGCATTCTGGACGTAGCTCTGCGACATGCCGATCTTTTTAGCCAAATCACGGCTTGAGACGTTGGGATTTGCTTTAATCATCCGCTTCACCTTTCCCTCCGTCTTTTTGTTCTCCGGTCCCGGTTTTCTTCCAGCTTCTTTGCCGTGGTCCAACGTCAACCGCTCCTGAAACCGCTTCAACACTCTGGAGACGGTTGAATGGTGAATGTTCAACATTTTTCCCAACTGCCAGGTTGCGACAGGTCAGGAAATTCCAGGTGTTTGGAAAGAATTTGTTCTCTCAACTCGCGTTGGTTCACCTCCATTTTCGTTGAATCGAAAAACACGACTTCGAGTTTGACAGCATGTACACAATACACATCAATGAGAAAGTGTGCAAAATTTGGTTGATTTTTACCCAATGGTAAAAAAGTTATGCCCTGTTGAATGTGTCGCAATAATTTCGTGTTCGCCCTTTAAGAAAAGGGAAGAGAAATAATTCTGCACACAAGATATGAAAATCCGACATGGTCGGGTACGAGGATCTCAAATGAGCTAAAATAGCCAAAACCACCGTCTGTGCAGTGCTGAAGAGTTTCAAGGAACGTTTATCTGTTTTCCGGAAGGTGCAATCAAGGCTTCGAAGCGGTGCAGTCAGAACGTCATGAAGGCTTTCAAAGTCCTAATCCAGGATTTTCGGACGTGGATGTTGGCCAACAAACTTGGTGCTGTTCGCAGTACAGTTCCGAATAGACGCGTTCGGGAAGGTTTCTTCAAGTATCGGGCTATTACCGGTGCTTACCAAATTCAACGGATCCTTATGGACGATGAAACGTTGGACTTCAAACAGCTTCCGGGACAGAAGTTTTATGTTGGGTCGCGGAGACGTTCCCAAGAAATATAAATTTGTTATTGCGGACAAGTTTGCCGGTAAGCTGATGGTCTGTCCGGTAAGCTTGACCAGCAGCTTGTGCAGAAGTTTATGGCAGTACCCATATTGTATCTTTAAACTACAATAAATACATAACATTTTCTTCAAATAACGTTTTATTCTAAACCAAACAGATTGGGGGTTATTCCGAGAGTCGGAGTGACTTTTGTCACTAGTGAAGTGAGAAAAGTCACGTCGTGGAGACATGACTCCCTGTGCAAATCAACCGGAAATTCACGTCACCCCGACGTGACTTTTCTCACTTCACTAGTGACAAAAGTCACTTCGACTCTCGGAATAACCCCCAATGTGTCAAGTCCAAGATCGTGATAATTTTCATTGATGATCCCAGTGAGAATCCCTATCTATGTCCAAGCCTTAAATGCGTCATGTTTCGTTTACTTTGTAATTTCAAAAGTGTTTGCATTTGGAATATTATTATTAACTTTAGAATCTTGAATATTGGGCCTTATTACGGGTGTCACTACACGGTGATAACGAAATGATACTCAGAATAAGAGCCGTGATTCCCGTACAAATCAAATGGAAATCACTTCACCGTGACGACAAGTGGCAAGTTTTCACCGTGAAGTGACATCCGTAATAAGCCCCATTGCCTCAGAATCTAGAAAATTTCTTCATGTCTGGGATATTCAATTTACGTCTAGCGTATAGAGGATTTTCTTAATAGGGGAAAAGTTGGCTTCGGCAATACCTTAACCTATTATCGTCAGGGGGGTAAACAACGTCCTTGAGAGCTCAATTTTGGCATGTGGATACATTGTGTTTCAGAGCAACTATTGGCCAAATTTGAGTGCTCTAGGACTTTGTTTACCCCCATGACGATAATAGGTTAAGGTATTGCCGAAGCCAACATTTCCCCTATCAGCAAAAATAAATCCTCCAGAAAAGTCAAGTAAATTCCCTCCAAAAAATTCTAAAAATTCACTGCGATTTAGCTTTGTATTCTGCGAGAAGTAGCATTAATTCATCTCTATAATTTTCTTAAATATCCTCAGAAATCTCTTGGTATGTTCTTAAGATTTTGTTTCATCTCAGAATTCCATGAGAATTTTCCAGAGAATTCCCTTCAAGTTATTCTCAAATTGTCTTTAAAATATTTCTTAGAATTTTCTTTAAACTCAGCTTAGGATTTCCTTGGAAGTTTCTTCAGAATCCTCTGCAACACTACTCAAAATTTATTCGGAAATATAACTCAACATTTTCCGGTGAATTATCCTCGTAGGAACCCTTCTGGAAATTGCTTGGAAATCCTTCAAAAAACCTCTCTTCGGTTTTTTTTAGCTATATTTAGAATCAGACTCCTTTGGTATTTTTATGGATATTCCCCAAGGGGTTCCGCACACCAAACTTGGGTCATTTTTTTCAGTGTGCCGATTGTGCCGATCATGTAGCAAGCTGCGCTTTTTTTATACGTATAAAATACGTATATTATGGAATATTTGGCTGCACGGTATTTCTGACAGCTTGAATGTTTTGGTTTGCAATTGCAATCGATAACATCGTCCTAGGGACAACCAAAGAGGAATGCTGGCGCCAGACACAACAAAGAAAAAAAGTCGGAGAGCAACCGGAAGCGTCCCGCATCGAAAACTGTTGGATGAGATTGTTGGATGCCCGAAAATGTCGAATATCGTGCTCAATAAGGTTTCCTTCTATCGACGAATAAAACGCCTCTACGCCAACTGCAGACCTGGCTGCTACGATACGAGCTGACCGATATCTGAAAATCCGCCGATATTAATTATAGGCAAATCACCCACGGCGCAGCTAATCAATGTACAACTTACCCGTGCAGCAGCTTGAATCCAAATGACCGTTCACCAACTGTCAGGAAATGTGTATGAAAAGTCATGACCTACCTAGTTGTTATCCATCTCATATCTTCCCTCTCCTTCGATATAAAAGTTATAAAAGTTTTTTTTTTTAACAATAAAGGGTGTCCACGATGAAATTGCCACACTATGAAATTGCTCTAACTTTTTAACCGTTGGGTAGAATTTAATGAAAATTTGGGTGGATTTAGTTCATAGTGCATTATTTACATCCTGCAAGTTTTAAAGTCCTGTGATCAAAACTCGCGGAAATGGAGTCGAAAGAACAGCTCGTGCGTGATAAAATCTTGCGCATTCATCACGAGAACAAGGATCTCTCGCATCGTTCCATCGCTAAAACGTTGGGAATCGCGAATTCCACGGTGTCGCGAGTGATTAAGCGGTTCGAGGAACGGTTGACCACCGATCGGAAGCCCAGAAGTGAAGGAAAAAGTATTCCGTACAACACCAAAAATCACAACCGCGTAGTTGGGGCCTTCAACCGAAATCCGAACGCCTCCGTTAGGGATGTGGCTAAGAAGCTGCACCTAAGCCGAAGTTTTGTCCAGAAGGCCAAAACTAAGGCTGGGCTTCGAACGTTCAAGGTACAAAAGGCCCCTAATCGCGACGAGAAGCAGAACAAGTCCGCCAAAACCCGTGCCAGGAAGTTGTACCTCAACATGCTGACGAAAGTTGAATGCTGCATCATGGACGACGAAACATATGTGAAGGCCGATTTCAAACAGATCCCCGGCAACCTGTTTTTCACGGCCAAGGATAAGTTCAGCGTTCCGGAGCATGTCCGCACTCAGAAGATGTCCAAATTTGCGAAGAAATTCCTGGTTTGGCAAGCCATCTGCACGTGCGGGAAGCGGAGTGCACCTTTCGTGACCCAGGACACGATGAACGGACAGGTGTACATAAAAGAGTGCCTCCAGAAGCGGCTGCTTCCTCTCCTGAAGGCCCACAACGTCCCAACAATCTTCTGGCCGGATTTGGCCTCATGACACTACTCCAAGGACGTGCTGAAGTGGTATGCGGACAATAAGGTCAATTTCGTGCCGAAAATGTTCAACCCTCCCAACACTCCGGAGCTCCGCCCCATCAAGAAGTACTGGGCGATTATGAAGCAGCACCTTCTTAAACGACCTAAGGTAGTGAAGACA